ATAAATAAATATGAATAAATTGGTATTCATATAGAATGCTTACATTTATAGACTGTTCGATGTGCCTAAAGCCTAATGGGACTTACTGGAGCAAAAGAACAAAAGTGACCGATGCCTAAATTAATGCAAGCAAGTGTTATCTTTGCACAACACCCATTATCGCAAGTTGATGAAATTAGTAAATAATATCTACATATGTCATATATCAAATAGTTTTTTTCAGCACTTTCTGCATAACAAAGCGTTGAGCTGTGCTCCGTGCTGGGATTTTTTGTTGTTTCGGAAAGAGAAAAACTGATAGCGAATATAGAGATTGATAATTCTAATGAAGCTTTGCATGATTTTCTGTATGATTGAGTGCAAGCCCCCGCTTACCGTATCGTTGGTGGCACCCACGGTCAGAAAGCTGATATATGTGGCGAAGAGGCAAATGGTTACAGTGCCCAAAATAAGCACCGACGTTTTGGCAAAGAGAGCGGCGCCCACCAAACAGACCAGCAGCATGCTTGTATTGATGCCGCTGCTAACCAGGAAGCGCCACCATTTGCCATCGGGCAGATGGGCTCCACCTTCGTTGACGAAACGACCGCCGGGTCCGAAGTTGTCGATGATGCCCTCTGTGCAACCGGATATGGCCATGGCGCAGCCCACCACATTCGCAAAGAAGAACAGGGTGCCTATAGAGCCGCCAAACTCGAGGCCCAGGGTGCGACTAATCATGACTAAAATGTGTGAGAAAATTCTTTAGCTATAAAATGATTTCTTTTGCCCCATACGGTTACTCACAGTAGACGCCGCCGCCCTCAACAGCGCCATTCGTGGAGATGGCGCAAACGGAGGCGACCGTAAATAGTAGAATTGCGTACGCGATGAGGAACTGCAGTAGCGTAACGTATAAGCCCGCATTGCCCACAATGTAGCCTGCAAGTGAAACAAATATTATTACAATAAGAAAGCGAGGGAGAGAGAGAGAGTGCTGGGACCATCCATTATGACATCACACTCACCCACACGTATGAAAACCAGAGCACTGAACATGGACAACGCCACAGGACTAAATACGCCCGCAAATGTGCCTAGTGTACGTCCGCTGCGTTCCGGATCTTGCATGCCAAACTCAACATAACCATCGCTTGATTGGGGCGTCATGGGACGAGCACTCTCCGTGCCACCTCCGTTGCTACCACCAGCACCAAAGAGCGAGCCAAAGCTGCGAAACATGTTCGAGGCGCTGCCATTGCGTGGCGCTGCAATCGGCGCAGTTTCCTGATCTCTGCTATTTCGCATAACAACTGCCAAATGCCAGTTGCTAAGCTGGAAATTAAGAGAAACGCACACACACACACAAAACACACAAAGCGTTGGCGCTGTACGCCCACAATTGGCGCAAATCAAGCGAATGACTTGATGTGCAGTATTTGGGCCGTTTCACAGCCTTTAATTCTTTTGTTTTCTTTTCTTTTTTTTTTTACTTTTTTTGTAGGTTTTTGGTTGACTGCTCCACTTGTAGCTGGCGGCGCGTTATTTGTTTGTCTGTTGGCACAGAGAAAACACGCAAAACTGAGTCCCCCAAATGCCCCGCAAGGTCCGAGGCTCCAATAACACAGCTGGCCGACGCCATTAATAATGAGACAGTATTTAAATACTCAAATGGAGTATTTTGAAGAAGCTCGAGAACGGTCTCACTATCGAATAGTATGAGAGAGAGAGAGAGAGAGTGCGAGACACGAATAACTAGGGGTTACAATTTCTGTATTCTATAAAACTGTCTAATATTTATGTACTTTTAGAAAATTTAAAATAATTCGTTTTCATTAAAAAAGAATGTAATTGTTTATGAAACTTATTTGTTGTTTGTTGCCTACATAAATTCGCTTCCTTCATGCATCAGTCGGCAGTCACTGTGACTTGTGTTTACTCACGACTGCACCGGTGCGCTGTGGCACCGCTCATCTCTAATTTCCACACTCTGCTGTTTTTGTTGTTCTGTTTTACCAAACGTTTAGCTGCGAAAAATATTTCTTTTTGACGCTATTTATTTGTGAAATGGTGAATGATAAAAAGCGACGTTCGCGCTCCCGGGAGCGTTATAGAGACGAGCGTGGCGTAGCCACAGCCGACAGAGATCGGGAGCGTGAGCGAGAGCGCGAACGGGAGCGGGAGCGACAACGGGACAGAGATATGTCGAGGCACAGAGAGCGTGATGCGCGCGACAGACAAATCGACAGAGAAAAAGATCGGCGACAACGACGATCCCGCTCCAGGTAAGGTAAATAAGTTACAGAGAAAAGTATGTGATAAATCATAAATCCATTTGCAGGGAGGACCGTGCCAGACGTAGTGGACGCTCACCGGAGCGTCAGCGTCAGGTGCGTGAAAGGTCGCGGGAGCGTGGATCACGCAATGGCGAGCCAGAGAAGAAGCCCAAATTGGAAAATTCTGGGACAGTGAAAGGCGAATCGACCGACCCGTCCAGTAAGTCAGAGGATGAACAAATGGATACCAAGGGCGATGGCAAAGTAAAGAAGGAACCTCTATCGCTGGAGGAGTTGCTGGACAAGAAGAAACGCGAGGAAGAGGCGCGCAGCAAACCCGTTTTCCTTACAAAAGAGCAGCGAGCCGCTGAGGCGCTGAAGCGTCGTCAGGAAGAGGTGGAGCGCCTGCGTGCCGTCCGAGATGCTGCACGGGATCAACTGCAAGCGAGCAGCAGCAAAACAATTACCGGCATAGCCACAGCATCTGCATCCATGCCGGTGGCCATGCCGCCGCCAGCTCCCGTAAAGCCGGAACGTCGTGATCGTGGAGGAGATCGAGGTGAACGTGGCGGGGATCGGGATCGCGATAAGGACAGCAAACGTGTTGATCTAACGCACAAGGATAAAGAAAAGGAACTGGAAGCCATACGCGAACGTTATCTTGGCATTGTGAAAAAGAAGCGACGAGTGCGCCGCCTCAACGATCGTAAATTCGTCTTCGACTGGGATGCGGGAGAAGACACCTCCATAGATTACAATAACTTGTATAAGGAACGCCATCATGTGCAGTTCTTCGGACGCGGCAATGTGGCTGGCATCGACATTAAAGAGCAAAAGCGCACACAGAGCAAATTCTATGGCGATCTGCTGGAGAAGCGACGCACCGAAGCCGAAAAGGAACAGGAGAAAGTGCGCTTAAAGAAGATGAAGCGCAAGGAGGATAAACAAAAGTGGGACGATCGCCATTGGTCCGAGAAGGACAACGACGAGATGACCGAGCGCGATTGGCGCATCTTTCGTGAGGACTATAACATTACCATTAAAGGCGGCAAAATACCCAATCCCATTCGCAGCTGGAGCGAGTCCGGTTTTCCGCCTGAAATCATTGAAATTATCGATTCAGTCGGATACAAGGAGCCGACGCCCATCCAGCGACAGGCTATACCCATTGGCTTGCAGAATCGCGATATTATTGGCGTTGCCGAGACTGGCTCTGGCAAGACTTTGGCGTTTCTTATACCATTGCTCTCGTGGATTCAGTCACTGCCCAAGATCGAGCGTTTGGAGGATGTAGATCAGGGTCCTTATGCAATTATTATGGCGCCCACGCGTGAATTGGCCCAGCAAATTGAGGAGGAGACAATCAAGTTTGGCCAGCCGCTGGGCATACGCACTGTGGTCGTCGTTGGTGGTTTGTCCAGAGAGGAGCAGGGCTTCCGCTTGCGTCTGGGCTGCGAAATAGTTATCGCCACGCCTGGTCGTCTGATTGATGTCCTCGAGAATCGGTATCTGGTGCTCAATCAGTGCACCTACATTGTGCTCGACGAAGCAGATCGCATGATTGACATGGGTTTCGAGCCGGACGTACAAAAGATTCTGGAATATATGCCGGTTACAAATTTAAAACCCGACACGGAGGAGGCCGAGGATGAGAAGAAACTAATGGAGAACTTCTACACAAAGAAGAAGTACAGGCAGACGGTGATGTTTACGGCGACAATGCCGCCAGCTGTGGAGCGTTTGGCACGCTCCTATTTACGTCGTCCGGCCACGGTGTATATCGGTTCTGTGGGTAAGCCGACGGAGCGTACCAACCAAATCGTTTACATGATGGGCGAGAATGACAAACGCAAGAAGCTCATGCAAATCCTGTCGGCCGGCATTGAGCCTCCAGTGATCATATTCGTCAACCAGAAGAAGGGCGCCGATGTGCTAGCCAAGGGATTGGAGAAGCTTGGGTACAACTCGTGCACGTTGCACGGTGGCAAAGGTCAGGAGCAGCGTGAATATGCACTGGCAGCGCTTAAGTCTGGGGCCAAGGACATACTGGTGGCAACTGATGTCGCTGGTCGTGGTATCGACATCAAAGACGTATCGCTGGTCATCAATTATGACATGGCCAAGTCCATTGAGGACTATACGCATCGTATTGGACGTACAGGTCGTGCGGGCAAGACGGGCGTTGCCATATCTTTTGTTACCAAGGACGACAGCAGCCTGTTCTACGACCTAAAGCAGTGCGTCACAGCTAGTCCCGTGTCCGTGTGTCCGCCGGAGCTTATGAATCACCCCGAGGCACAGCACAAACCTGGCACAGTGGTCACTAAGAAACGACGCGAGGAGAAAATATTTGCCTAAGATTTTAAGGAAAATTATATCGAAGTTTTTCTCGATAATTAAAAACAAAAGTCCAAAAGTGGACAAGAAAAGGAAAATCCATTAATAATTTTTTATCGGTTTTTATTTTTTTTAGCAACTTTTGGCTTTTGGGGTAAGCTCAGATTGCTCATCTCATTAATCGCAAAAAGAATGCATTTCGGCTCTGCTTGGAGTCCATAGGTAAATACTTGTCATAGAAATTTAGGATCACTTCCTGAATCTTGAAGCCAAACTTCTGATACAACATGACTGCCGGATTGCTGGCGGAGACATGAAGCGTAATATCCTTGGACATACAGGTCTGAATGAGATGGTAGAGCATAAAGGTGGCTATTCCAGCACGCTGCCAATTGTGGCGCACGGCCATAAAGGAAATGTACGCCTCATTGTAGCCGACATCCGGCACCAGGAATCCACATCCAATGACCAGTTTTTTATAGAGCGCAACCACGCTATAGTCCGGATAGCTGAGACAATCACTCACTGCAACAGACATGGACATTGAGCTAGGTACTAGGTCAACTGTAACTGCTCCAACTCACCATCGATACCTGGCCAGAAAACGTTCTGGAGCAGCGCATTGACTGCCGGTATATGCTGCGGGCGCACGTAGCAGAAGTCTATAGTAGAGCGGCTGGGATAGCATCGATTGACGCGATGCTGTAGCTCGCACATCAGACGCAGCCAAGGCGGACCCATACTCTGGCTGCGATATATGAACGGATGCAGGACACGCTGCGTGTAAGGCGATTCGAAAAGTTCGTATTCGGTGCTGCCGACAATGCGGGCATAGAAGGAACTGCGGTTGTTTGGATTGCCCTGCTCGAGCAGCTGATAGCGATCTAAAATTTGCGCCTGTTGCTTCGCCAGCTGCAGACGGGCACGTGCCATGGGATCTATGTGCTCATCCAGATTGAATATGGGTCGATTATGCTCCCGCTTCCACTTGCGCACGCTCAGCTTGCGGTAGAGCCGGCGCACATAGGCGGGTATATCGCTCTGGCTGTGCTGGTCGAGCATGAAAATTTTGTGCAGTTGCTGATAGAGCTGTTGCTCCTCATGTAGAGTCATTGGACGAAGCTGTTGCTGTGGACCTTCCTGATGCGAGACCGGCTCGATTGCCGTCTCCTGCAGCCAGGGCCAGTTTCGACGCGGCTGCCTTATAAAGCCGCTTGGCTTACAAGGCTCCAGATTGATGTTGCCTTTTACTTCTGTCTCCAGCTCCAGATCATCCTGCTCTTGTTTCGACTCTAGTGGCTCTTCCTTGACTTGTGACGCCTCCTGCTGTTGCTGCTGCTCCTGTGCCTGATAATTCGTCACCTGTACTATGCGCGGCTGATACGTGTCGCTCTCCTCCGTCTGCTGCTCTGTCTCCATGGGCTCCTCTTCGCTTTCAGAGCTGCTAGACGCTAGCCTTTGTTTCTGTTCCACCTTTGGCATTATCTCTGCCTTCGTTTCCGTTTGTTTCTCCATCCTCGTTTCCGTTTCGGCTGTAGTCACCACAGACTCTGTCGGCGGCAAGACAAAATTATGTTCCAGGTCAAACAGGCCGTTACCGGGCGTTTCCAATGGTACTTCGAGCGGCGCTTCCAGCAGCGCATCTGACATGAAAAAGTCCCCTTTGCAGCCAGCACCAATCAACGGAGGTGGCATAAACATGCTCAGATCATCGCCACCCAAGCTCTCGGCCAGAAAATCCATCAGGCTTGCCTGAACGCTGCTTAACGACGGTAACAATGCTGCCGGTTCTGACTCCCCTGACTGTTGCAGCTCCTCGGGCTCCTCCTGCTGCTGTGGCTCAGCTGGTTGCCCCACGATTGGGAACTTCGGTAGGCGACCCATGTACGGACTACCAAAAAGATATATTTGTTTGATTTTATAAATTTCTGTACGAAATTCTAAAATGAATCTTTGCTCACATGGCACGCGCACAGCCCTCGCTGGGTGGCGCCGGCGGCAAACCTTCTGCAATTTCCTCCGTTGTGGTATGGGTTGGTTGGATATCGCTCAGATGATCCGTGACAGATAAATCGCTGCTGCAGCTGGTTTCATCCAGTGCTGGCAAGCGACGATCCGTGCGCAGCTGCTGACGCTCTAACAGTCGCTGCTCATCTGAAAAGATATAATTCCATGAACACTTCGTACTGAGTTCGAAGTATTAAATATGTTTACATTCAGCACGCACGCTGCGTGGCGTTAAATTCGGTTTAGCCAGTCTCCACCAGCCATGCTCCAGGCACACACTGACACCAGACTGAAAATACTCTGGGCTGTTGTGGGACAAAGCGCCCGAAACGGAACCTGCCCATTGCTTGCGACGACGTCTGTTGGTTATAGTTATCAATTAGCCGTTGATTTTCATCTGCCACTAAACTAAATTCACTCACACACGTGGCTCAAAAATGTAGTTCCAGTTCTTGTCAACAAAGCTGATGATGTGCGTCCGCCAGTGAAAATATCCGTGATGGCTCAAGCCCTTCGATTTAATTGATAAATTATAGAGTGTCAGCGTCAACACTAACAGCCAGGGTATGCGCTGACGAACAAAACGCTCCTTGGGTACCACATCGCTTGCGTCTGGCTCGTTGCGTACGCATTTAATACACGTGAAATCGAAGAAGACATCACCCAGTAAATCGCCAGGCGTGCTGGCATGTGGCAGACACTTGATGTGCACGCTCTTCTCACATTTCTGGCAATCCAAATAGTTGTCATCCTCTATAGCAGCTTGGCAATAGCTACATCGGCATTCTGTATCTTCAGTCGCCTGGGAAAGCGACATGGCAAACGCTTAACAAATGTAAACAGCTTTGATGATGATAATTTGTTGCGCCGTTTTGTTGAAATGCGCTAGCGGTGTTGCCAGACTGGCAAAAATACCAAAAATTATGCCCAACGATGCTAGACACTTGCTGTACTACTTTTTTTCAGGAGTATTTATATTTTTTTTTAATGAATATGATCACCAACCATACGATGTTGGATGGTTAGCGATATGAGAATTCCAGCTACGTATTTTAGCTTCAAAGTTGTGGATAACACATTCGCTGTACAATTATTCAATCTTATGACATCGATATCGTAGCTGTGATCTTTTGTCAACTCACGGGACCAGTTGCTCATAAACGATAACTTGTGCTAATATTCTA